TGCTGCTGCTTTGCAGTCTATTAAAAAGTCTTAAATAACAACCTGACTATGAAAGTTCCCCTCTTCAATCCCTCTGTGTGTAAGAAAACAGATCTTGGAGCAGGAGGAGTGACTTGGCTAAATCAACTTCAGCTCATGGCAGTTTTGTACCAGAAGAGAGATGGAAATGTTCAGCTGGAGCAGCCAAGGGGATGAGGTGCAGCTGGAGGACATGCTGGAGAACAGCACAGCTGCAGAAGGCACCATCTAAACCCCCTAACATCTCTGCCTGTGTCTCAATCTGAGTGCAGAAGACATTGAAGGAAGAAAGGGAAACTTCTTTAGCTTTCTTGGGAAGCATGTGCTGTGTTTTCTGGAACTCTGGGCAGGTTATTGATGAAATAACCTTAAGGGGGCTGAGGTTTCTGTGTCACTGACCCTTCTGAACAGCACGAGTGGTTAAATTAAACTGATTTACTAATGACACATCTGAGGGCAACAACATCTCTGAAATCATCATTTCACCTCCTCTGTCTCATTGCTGAGTCACACATCTCCATTCTGCTGCTTGATTTTTCTTCATTTCTGCTTGATTTCTCTACATTTATGGCTTTGCCTCTTCCTACAGAAAAGGCTGTTTCCCCTGCAGCATCTGGCACAAATTCCTGTGGGGAATGGAACTGAGGAACATGACAGAGCAGAGGTACTTAAATGTGTAGGGATTTGGGGGTGCCCACTGACCTGTGGCACAGGACCCCAGTGTTGCAGCAGACCCTTCAGCAGCACCCCTGGCCCCAAGGAGGAGACCAGGACACTCACCTCACCTTGCCCCACAGGTCCCTTCCCTGGCAGTGAGTCCCAGGAGGAGGAATTGATTCCCCCATCCATGTTGCAGAACCTCGAAACATCTCATTCTGGGCAGCTCAGAAAGGAGCCACTTATGTAATGAGAGTTTGAGGAGTGACAGCAGGTGGGACCAGAGCTCAAAAGACTGGAATGATTTCTGGGCTTTCTTTAATGAGATACTTTCACGTACTTTAAAAGTCTGTTTATCAAAAACCCTAAGAACCTGCACTTCTAACCAGAGCCACAGGAGCTGAGAGGTGCACAGCAGCTCTGGAAAAGAACAGAACAGGCTGTGAAGCCCTGGCAAAGAGCCTTTTGTATGTGGGAACTAATTTGGTTTTTTAGGGCAGATTTAAAACCTGACTGTTGCTGAGTCATGAAAAGTGGGAAGGTTGTTAGTGAGGAGATAAATCTCACATGGATTGGTCTCCAGGTGCTTGATTCTCCTCCTTCCCCCCCCCTTTTTTTTTTTGCACCTGACAGCCATGTCAAAGATCTGGTTTTTCCTTGCACAATGAAGAAAAGGGTTTTAATTACTCAGCCAGGACCAAAGAAATCCTCAACTTGAAGTTATTCCTTGAAGAAACACATGAGGATGAGGGGCTGGTGGCTCTTCCTCACAGGATGCCCCTGACTCAGGTACATCACTGCAAGGACAAGTCCCATTTTACCCACCAGTATCTGGGTCATGTCCCAGCATGACTGTGGGGGAAGATCTCTGTGTTAGGGCTGCAGAACATCAGCCAAGCAGCTGCCACTTGGTAAAGAAACAAGGACCAATCCATAACAGGAAGGTGTGTCACATTTCACCTCCTGTCTCCATCAGGGGATGGAAGAGGCTGCCTGTACACACTCATACATACCATGAACATTACAACATGCTGCAAAGGACAAGAAGCCAGAGGCCTCTGTTCCATCCTTCATCCCATGGCAGCAGTGGGATAACTACTGCTAGTCAATAAAACACAGGGTGATGCAAGGAGAATAACTTGCATGATTTTGTTAAGAGGACCTGCC